CTGAATTCCACCTATAATACATTATGTATATTATATATAGAGCACTGAATTCCACGTATAATGTATTATGTATATTATATATAGAGCTCTGAATTCCACCTATAATACATTATGTATATTATATATAGAGCACTGAATTCCACCTATAATGCATTATGTATATTATATATAGAGCTCTGAATTCCACCTATAATGCATTATGTATATTATATATAGAGCTCTGAATTCCACCTATAATGCATTATTTATATTATATATAGAGCTCTGAATTCCACCTATAATGCATTATGTATATTATATATAGAGCACTGAATTCCACGTATAATGCGTTATGTATATTATATATAGAGCTCTGAATTCCACATATAATGCATTATGTATATTATATATAGGGCTCTGAATTCCACATATAATGCATTATGTATATTATATATAGAGCACTGAATTCCACGTATAATGAGTTATGTATATTATATATAGAGCTCTGAATTCCACATATAATGCATTATGTATATTATATATAGTGCTCTGACTTCCACATATAATGCATTATGTATATTATATATAGAGCACTGAATTCCACGTATAATGCACTATGTATATTATATATAGGGCTTTGAATTCCACCTATAATGCATTATGTATATTATATATAGGGCTCTGAATTCCACCTATAATACATTATGTATATTATATATAGGGCTCTGAATTCCACGTATAATGTATTATCTATATTATATATAGGGCACTGAATTCCACATATAATGTATTATGTATATTATATATAGAGCTCTGAATTCCACGTATAATGCGTTATGTATATTATATATAGAGCTCTGAATTCCACATATAATGCATTATGTATTTTATATATAGGGTTCTGAATTCCCCATATAATGCATTATGTATATTATATATAGAGCACTGAATTCCACGTATAATGTATTATGTATATTATATATAGAGCTCTGAATTCCACCTATAATGCATTATGTATATGTATATAGGCTAAATTCCACATATAATGCATTATGTATGTATATATGAGCTCTGAGATTCCACATATATTGCATTATGTATATTATATATAGGCTCACCAATTCCACATATAATGCATTATGTATGTATATATAGAGCTCTGATTCCACATATAATGCGTATGTATGTATATATGGAGGCTCTGAATTCCGCAATAATCGTTATGTATTATATATAGGTACAGATTCCATTATAATGGTTATGTATATTATATATATGAGCTCTGAATTCCACCTATAATGCATTATGTATATTATATATAGGGCTCTGAATTCCACCTATAATGCATTATGTATATTATATATAGAGCACTGAATTCCACCTATAATGCATTATGTATATTATATATAGGGCTCTGAATTTCACCTATAATGCATTATGTATATTATATATAGGGCTCTGAATTCCACCTATAATACATTATGTATATTATATATAGGGTTCTGAATTCCACGTATAATGTATTATCTATATTATATATAGGGCTCTGAATTCCACATATAATGTATTATGTATATTATATATAGAGCTCTGAATTCCACATATAATGCGTTATGTATATTATATATAAAGCTCTGAATTCCACATATAATGCATTATTTATATTATATATAGGGCTCTGAATTCCACATATAATGCATTATGTATATTATATATAGAGCACTGAATTCCACGTATAATGCACTATGTATATTA